AAATAAATTAAAAAAAAAAAAGAAAGCGCCCCAGCTCAGTCCAACTCAAGTCCAAAAGTCTGATACTGGTCCATAAGTCCCTCTTTAGATTCATGCAGCCACATGTAATGATGTGGAATGCCGTGGGTACAGAGTTGGTGGATGCAAGGTCAGTGGAAACATAGCAGGGCTCTGGCACCTCTCTGGGTCAGTGGCAGAGTGCTCTATGAAAAGGGAGTTCCTAGGGTCCTCGTCATGAGAAGGCCATGCCCCCCAAAAAGCACCATCAGACTGTGACAGGTCTGACTCCACCCCTAGCCAGAAGTTTCCAATTAACATAAAGTCATCTATCACACCACATTACTGTTTCAGGTTTCTTTTTAGCATTTTTCCACATGTAACATTTTTCAAAAGTTAATTGTAACCAACTTCAAGAATGTTTCAGAGGACCATATATGACCTCCTTTGGGTACACCAGGAGAACTCAATTCCTCACTAGTCCAGGGCTGATTGCCACAAGGCAGGAGTTAGACATGCCTCCACCCTCCAGTCTCCTTTTCCCTATTCTAAAAGCAACTGTTCCTCCCACAGCACTCTGCCTCTCTACTGGCCTGATAATCTGTTGCAGTGACCACACAGAAATCACAGGCAATACTCAGAATTATGGAGTTTTCTTTATAAGAGAAATTACTAGGTTACCACAAATGGATCGGGAAACGTTAAGAGTATAGTCTTTTGTTCAGAGCAATACTTCACCGCAGCCAGCAACCAGGTCTCTTTCTAGTCCTCAGACTCTCAACCCTGCCGTCCCTGGGCCTCTTTCTCCATAGGCCAGGAAGCTTGTCCACTGCTTTTCACCATCTCATAGTCTCAGTGCTGCTCTTCTGCCCTGGCTCATGGTCTCTTTGTCCCAGCCTCTGGTCTTAGCTTGGCATGGCATTTGCTGCCTCCACCACTTCAGGCAGAGATGTCTAATGGCCATCACTGGTGGTGGTTCTTCCTTGATGGTTCTGGCAATGCTCTCTAGTTCTGCTTTTGGTACTCTTATAACCAGGGGAATGGCAGTTGCACCTGACCAATCCCTTCTATTAGTGTCTCCCACACCTGATTTGCATGATTCCACCCAATCATTTGCTGGGAGTTGCAGAGCCATGGGTAGAAGAGCCAGATTAAGAAATTTCACTTTAGATGAACCGGTCAGGGTGCAGTGTAGCAATAATGAAACATACAACTTTCCTCTAGTTCCTAAATGTTTACTTCCCCCTCATCCCCCCACCCCCCTACTATCATGATCCCAATTCTACCTTACAAATCTGGGCTAGACCAGAGGATGTA